CATACGTAAAAATCACAAAAATGCATAAATTATTTTATGCTAGAAATTCATAAAAAATGTTCCTTTTATATCTAAGATTTGAAAATTTAATACATAGCTCCTACCATATTTTTACAATAGAAATTGAAAAATAAAATAAAAATATAGTCACAATTTTTATTTACAAGCATTGAAAGTTTGAATTTTGACAACATATGTAAAAATCACGAAAATTCGCAAATTATTTTAAACTAGAAATTCATAAAAAATTTTCTTTTTAAATCTAAGATTTGAAAATTTTGAATAATCTATAATATATCCTAGACAGATAAACTGTCTTCGCTCAGAATTGTTTTTCGTATACAATGATATAATATCATTGGATTCAAATTTAATTCCATCCATTACAGTAACCCACATGTAACCTACTGTACAGTAGAGGGACATCCACGACTTACCCGCCTTTTTATTTTTTAGGTTGTCTTATTAATTCTTGTTTTGAAAGTATTAATAAAAATCCAGATCACATCACAAAAGTTAATTTCAAAGATTTGTCAACAGGCAACCAGAAGAGTTTAAATTTTAGTCAAAGAAATACTGAAAATGGTAAGTAGCATCACTAAYATTAAATATTATTTGTGGAAATCGGTACTTCCAAATAAATATCTTTCATAAATGGTTTTTTTTATGTCAGTGACTTAAACAAAAACATACTGGTGTGGTAACTTTTTTTTTTGTATAGTATGTTTTAAGTCTACCTTGTATTAAATAMTGGTATGTCACTATAAAATATGTAATCAATTTAWGATCAACTATAAATCATAACATATTAAAAATGATTGTGGTAGAAGGTTGACATATATCATCATCAGATCCTCTATTTCTTAGGATTTTCTATGATAAATACAGTTTTACTAGTAATATGGTAGGTTGATTCAATTTTTGAAGCTTCAAAATCTTCTTGTTAAATTACCTATACCATAATGAATACCATATTAAAAAAAAATTAACTAACTACGACAAAACTAAAAACATTTTCATTTACATAATTTACGTAATTTTATCTGTTTTATATATAGTACACAACTTAAATGCTTCTATAAAACAGGAAATTATTTTGAATGAACCTTCCATCAATCTTGAGGGTAATTTTGTTGTTGATAATGGAGGTAAGTGTGAATATTCAATTTGGTGCAATCCATTACTTTTAAAATTTATGTTGGAATTTTGAAAATAAAAAGTAGTTTTTTCTCAGAATTATGTAATAATTCAAAAAATAATAACTGAAAAATAATCTAGCTTTTAAATGGTAGGAACTTTAACCTCTCATTGTCAAGATCCTCACATTCTGGACGCATATTGTTCTTTTTTTGATTATCAATCATATATTGTTTATAACCATGGCTCGTAAGTTCATACATATGCATATCAATCTTGGTAAGTTGTATTTAATGCTAGATGACATAGAAATCCATTTCAATGTACCACAGTCAAATAAGTGAAGTTTTATTTTGCATGTTTTTGCATATTTAGAGGTTTTTTACCTATTTGACATATAAATGCATATTTATATTTTATCGGGMATATTATACAGGATTTTGATATTCATATATTATTATATCAATATGAATTTTTTTATGGAAATAATATGAAAGAATCAACATTGAAAAAAAATGTGATCGTTTAAAATTTTTTTAATTTTAATTTTGACATAAAAAAATAAAATATAATTATGAAAAAATGGAAGGGTTTATGGATGAATTATTATTCATTTTATTTAAAGAAATGTTTATGATTTTTTTAAGTGCATATAAATGCATATTTTCCTATTTTAAGTGCATAAATGCGTACTTATCTGGGCATATTTTAGGGCAAGAACTCACGAGCCATGTTTATAACATAGTAATTATATATACTATACATTAATTTAATTGTCTTATTCAATATATTAAAAGTATATGTTGAAATCAACTACCAGTGTATGAGTAGATATGACAATCACATTGTTCATTAACAGTATTTATAATTTTTTCAAAGGATTTATTGTTTATTTTAAACATTGTCTATTCAAAACTTTGAAGTAAATAAAATATTTTGAAACACTAAAATTTGAGATTTAATTTTAATTTTAGGTGCTGAGTAGAGCAAGGAGTATTGATTTTACAATGACAATTTTTTTTTATATCCGTCATCACGTTTTTGGGCTGTAAAAATGACGTACGTGAAGTTGGCCCACCCACTTTGGAGTAGCGACTTAAAATCTTCACTAATATTTTGCGAGTTATTTGCGAGAATTTGCGAGTTCACTTTTAGAATTTGCGAGTTAGCCGTTTATGAGCAGCAAGCAAAATAAAAATGGGTGGGCCAAATTCACGGTGTAAAAATGCTTTGATTTTCGACTTCAGGACTTTGTTAGATTAGAAAGTGAATCTAGTTGATGCTTTGGGTGGGGGTCAAAGGTAAAAAAATAATTGGGATAAACAAACTATAAATTAAGGTTAGGTCAGGAATTTTTACTCACAATCAGTTTTTTCTACCTTTATAAAAAATATCCACCGAAAAGTCAAATATTTAAACAACTAATAATAATCTATAATATATCCTAGTTAGATATATCGTCTCCAATTAGAATCGTTTTTCATATACAATGATGTAATATTATTGGATTCAAATTTAATTCCATCCATTACAGTAATCCACTTGTAATCTACTGTACAGCAGAGCGACTCTTTTCCTCTTTTTTAATGTAAATATTATCGGTTGATATCMAATGATCGAAGTATCGTGTTGCAGTGAAATAGTGACTTTACGGTGCTTCCATCCATGTATAATCCAACATATTTTGTTCATGTTATTTTGCATATAATTACATGTCTGTTATAAATGAATAGCTTAGACTTAAAAATAATTTTTATTTAACTACATTATCCTGTTTTTGTAATAAAAACACTATCATAATCATACATTGTAAATATTTAGATTTCTTAACTTTAAAATACATTTTCTTAAATAATTGTATTGCTTTATATTGAGTGAAAAGATAAACATATTGATTTTAGACTTATGTGTGTTTTATTTTACTTTTATTTTTCTTTCAACTTTAATATCGGTTCTTTTTGGATATTGAAACAAGATGATATTTTTGTGAGGTCAAGATTGGTAATTCCCTGTAGTTTTCTTAAGTGTCTGAAAAAGAATAAATAAATAAAAAACTTATTTTCACAAAAAAACAGAACTGGATACAATGTTATTCATAAGTAATTTTAATAATAGAAAAATATTAAAGAAAGATATCTGATTTTATTTAGAAGCATTTAATGTTCAACTTCTTCAAAATTCGTATACTATTTTTTTATTAAAAATGTATGAAATTTTTGATTTTTTTAGGTAAAGAATACATTTTTAAATAAGGTTTCTTATTACTAATAACTAATAACTAAATAACTAATAAGTTATTAGTAATTCATACTCAAACCAGAAATATATGTACAACATTTTTTACATAGATATCTTATTTGTTTATTTATATAATTTCTAGATAATGAAAATATTGACAGTAATCAATCTAATAAAGTAGCTTTCATTTTTTCTAGAAGAACTTTATCAAATACTACAGATAATTTAGATGGTAATCCGAATTATATTATGACATATTATATAACAAATATGAATGCTTACATTGATTTTTTAAAATTTATTTTAATAGTTCTTAGCTTAACACTGTTTATAATATTCTACTTTATGGTTATAGAAATTAATGAAGTAAAACTGGAAAATTTGATCGAAATAGAAGTTATTTTTACTTCTGAAGATAGTCTTGATCATACAAAACAATCACGTAAGTGATATTCTTATAAATTTTAACAAAATTAAATTTAAATTAAGAAGATTAAATAAATTCATCTTTTACATTTTTTTTTTTTTTTTTATTTCATTCTCATTATAACTTTTATGCATAAATAGTATAACTAAAAAAAGGTATGACAATAATAAAACTAAAATCATGTTTTTTTATTTATAATTTTTAGGTCATGTGTCCAATGATAAACCTACTTTAGAAAAAAATGATTTTTCTAAATTTGAAAGATTATCATCAACTACTCTAACTACTTTTGAAAATAATCAAACAAATGAAACTACTGCCAGTGAGATTAATTAATTATCTATTAGTTTTAATTTTAATCAACAGGGTTCAGGATTTAGAAATTTTGACATCAACAAATTCAAAATTAATTGGTTATATTATGATGTATCGATTAAAATTAAAAATTGTATTCTGTAGGYATATTATTTTGATTGAAATGCATATTATTCTATTTATTGCATATCTGTATAATTTTTTTTACAAATTTTCTTATCATTGTAATTCAAAATAAAAATATTATAATTGTTTATGGGTTTATTTCCTTTAAAAATAAATTTGTGATTTTATAAACCTTACTTTATTAATTTTTATTTTTGGTAAGATTATACTATAAATTTACTGGTATAATAAATTGCTTATATTTCAGATCTAACGTTTGATAAAAATTGTAATTCATCATTATCCTCATCAAGAACAATGTCAATCAGTACAGAGAAAATAAATTATTATGATGATAAAGCTAATACAGGTAAGGTATTATTCTATATATTTACATGTATATAGACACAGATTTTGTATAGGAAATAATATCATTATGTTTAATGTTAGAATCATAGGCGGCATCTAGGGAGGGGGGGCATGAGGGTGCAGTTGCACACACTACAATTTTTCTGGAGGTGGGGGGGGGTGGCAAAAGTATAATTTTGCACCCACACACAGACAATCACWACARTAAAAAATATTTTAATTATTTTATTGTTAACAATTATACTGAAATAATGTAGTTTTGATAATAAAAAATCACTATGGATCATTTCAATATTTTATATCTGATTACTCAATTAATTGTATGGAATAAAATCTTAGTCCGTGATTAAA